CCTAGGATCTGAAAAGTGAGGATCTGGTCACTACTGGGTGTAGAGGGGGAACATACACTGGCAGTGCCTGACGTTTCAGTGAGAAGTCAGGGCAGTGCAGGTGTTAATGGTCATGCCAAGCCCCTAACGGTCTAGCGACCTTCTCAGAGGTGTCCTGTGGCCGACCGGGTTGGTGTGGTGGACTTTGACTTGTCTAGGGCAGACAGTCATCGGGCCTGTGTGAGATAGAACGAAGGTTACGATATCGTAACCCTAGTTTTATAAGCACAGGCGGAGCCCTCTGCCGATGAGCCCTGTCGCTCTGACGCCGTCTGCTGAAGAGGCGGTCGGATGCTGAGACAGTAGGGACACTGCTTTTTATACGTCATGCACGTATCGGTAGCAATGTCCTATTGGTCGGCTACATGCACGATAAAATTTCAGTGGGCAAGTGCGTGCGTGTGATTGGAGGAGGTAGTACCCATGGAGTCCAGTAGAGGACTCCGCCTGTGCTTATAGAACTAGGGTTACGATATCGTAACCTTCGTTACAACTCACTCTGCATTTATTTGTGAATTGGTTTTTACAGACATGAGTCACGTGACATTTTAAAAGCCACGCATTTGTGGATTTTGTGCGAAACATCGGTGGAATTCGCCAAAGGAATCCACACAAACAGGTGGAGATTAACAAATATATTTCCAGTGAAAAAAAAAAGAAGCTAAATGTTCATGATGTACAAATGATGAGCTGTAAAGTAGAGGCACAGCTACGGATCCAGATTTACAGATTCAAACCACTGTGCATTTATTTGTGCATCGTGTGTAGTTCAGTTATGTATCCGGACATTTGTTTGTGAACACTTGAGACTTTTTAATGCCATAAAAAAAGCCTGGTTCACAACTAGCACATACACTATGTAGTATTTTCCCCACTGTATATAAGAGTGTTGGCAAGCGTTAGCAGCTCTGTCCTGCTCTATTTGATTTGGGTAAGCTTACTCGCCAATAACCCCAGCCATTGTTACCAGCATTACGTTTACCAAACACACTGGTTAGTCCTCATCCTAAAGGCGTTTTCTCTTGATGTTGTGATGTTAAAAGTGAAACATACTGTTTAAAAATGCTACAATTTGAACCTCCAGCTTGCTTGTCCAAATAGGTAAGCTAAGCATGTTAGAAATAAATAACAGTCTGATGTTAAATTGTCTTTGTCATAACACTACTAGAACCGCACTACAATACAAAAATATTGCAGTTCTTTATTTCTTAAACCCCCACATTCATAACTGGTGTATAAACAGCTAATGAATGATTGACATAACATAGCTGTAATAATGAATAATACACAGGTAACACATACTAATAATGTGTTACATATAAAAAATGTATTCTTGTTCAACCAAGCTTTAAACCTGAGGCAAGCATGTCAGCAGTGGGTAATCTCATCCTGAGTAAACCGCTGTGTGTTCATTTTGTCCCAATCCTCAGATGCCCTATGAGTGCGTGTGTGTGCCTTTGTATCTATCCAGCCAGGTCATGGCGGGACGTTTGCATGTTTACCTTTCCTTAAATCTCCAGAATAAACTCCCTCTCATGCCCACAGGCTATTTATGTCACTTTTGCTCAAAGACACTCAGATCAGGGAGAGGACTAAGAGAAGCGTGAAGGAGGTAATCAGTGGGAGGGAAGGAAAGATGGAGTAAATAAGAGGAAAACAAACAAAAAAAGCAACGAACATTCCAGCCGAGGTAGGAGAGGAGCATAAGAGTCAGAGGATCATGTGGTAGAAGAAGCAGGGAATGAATACGTTAGAGCCAGAAGGGAAAGAACAAGTAACTTAACTGAGCTAGTTGAAAAAGAGAGGACGATAGCAAAAAAGGACAGCTGTTGATGTCTTACTGAAGAAGAAAAGGAAGGAAGAGAAAGAAGATGACTAAATGGACAGGAGCTCAGCAGGTACAGAGGTAAAAAGGGGTGACGAAGCGGTGCTGAAGTCTCAGAGGAACACGCAGGAGAAGATGAAGATAACAGGAAATGTCAATATTGGAAGAAGGGATGGAGGGGGGTGGAGGTGGGTTACTGAGAGAAAGAGCCTGGGAGATGTGTATGTTTTCTTCGCTGGAACGATTTAATCAAGTTCACATCGGTGCGGTGAACCACAAAGGCCCGCCACTTGTCTGTGGGAGCCAGGGAAGAGCCGGAGAACAAGCTGAGGCTCCACTGTTCAGACTGCTGCCGTTCGAGAGGGGGAAAAAACACTGCTACACACACTTCCTCTGCCTTCTCTCCCTCCTGCATTATTCTCAGTATTGATCTTTATCTTCTTGTCTCTTTCTCCATCATGCATACTGTCAATTGCAGCCCAAGCTTTGTCTCTCTGCCTTTACATCAATTTAATTTAATCTGGATCCTGATTAGTGCTGATTTTTCTTTTTTAAAGAAGACAGATCGAAAGCTTTGTACGATACCTTCCCGGTAAACAGTAGACAAAGTTTGCAACTAGCTAGTGAACACAGTGTGGCATTTAGCAGTTAAAGAGCCAGATATTTCTCTCCGGAGTTGGTTAAGACCAAAAACAGAGCTATAAAGAACGAAAGTGAATGCTAATGTTGCTCCACTCCGCTTCTGGGTGTGTAAAAAAGCAACTGTTAGCTAACAAATTCGCCCATAAAAACTGTACGAGGTGTGTCAACAGCTTGGTCAATCAATGAATGCAGCTTTAAACTTGATGAGAAAATGAGTAAGTGAGCATTAAATAAAGATTAGTGCTGAAATCATTAGTGAATTAGCAATTTTAAAATCAGTTCATCTTTCAACTTGTTTATCAAGCTAAATCGCCAATACATTGCTGGTTCCAGCTTCTCAGATATGAGGATTTGCTGCTTTTCTCTCTCTCTCTCTGGACTGTTTGTCACACAAAACAAGCATTTTGAAGATTGGGAAATTGTGACTATGTATTTTATTACAATTTTGACATTTTTGGCTACATGACACATTGATTGATCGCATAAATAATCAACATCTGAATCAATGAACACTCTGACAAATAGAGCTGCCATACGATGAAGGGAAAACAGACACAGAAGTCTAGTAGCAGGTGCTGCAGAACATCCTGTCGTACGTTTTCTGGAAGTTGACACACTGTGAAGCGGCAGCAACACTTCCATAAACACTGGTGGGTGTTTTTGTGTGTGTACGCTTAAATCAAGGACAACAATCCGAAATGACTGAGGTAACCATGTCAACGAGACCACCGCTGTCATCACTGTAAATTCACCAACATGGTTATAAAACAGGACATGCAACTGACAGTGTTTCAAAGTAGATCAGACCGTGTTCAGTAGTAAAACAGACAAACGAGCTAGATGTTGTGTACAACAGGGCAAATAACAAAGACATAATAAACTGAAAAGCAATACAAGCAGAGTGAACAAATTATATAAGACTACTGTGAAAACAGCTTCCTCTCCTTTTCTACTTCTTTCCATCTGGAAGAACATAAACAAACAAACAGATCCATATTTTTATGAAAGCAATATATTTCCAAGTCAATCACACGCACCACTCTGTTTATGCTGTAGCTGGAGGTTATTCCTGTCTGATCCCCTCTTAGTTAGAAACACTTTATTGGCCTCAGCACTCATATTCCCTCGCTACCACTGTCTCCCCATGTTTGTGAGAGAGAGAGAGAGAGAGAGAGAGAGAGAGAGAGAGAGAGAGAGAGAGAGCGAGGCTGTCGAAGCGACCCAGCAGTCATTTCTCTCCCTGCCAATGGGGTTTTAACACCGGAGAGTTGTCCACTCCAGGTGCTGCTCTTGACTGACAGGATAATTTGCAGGTGTTGAAAATACACACACTTGTTATGAAGGCAGACATGACTTCATTTTTATGCTGACACAGGTGCATACCGCATTGATTTTAGAGTTCTCTGTAAGCATTTTCTTTACTTGCAAAGTTACAGTTTGATTTCATTTTGAGTTTGGTTATTGATTCTACAGAGGTTTGATTTCCTGTTGTTTCAGGAAAAACCTTCTGCAGAGGAAGCACAGTGTCCGACCATTGCAGAAGTTGTTCATTTCAAACTTAGCTATCTATCTATCTTAGTTTTTAAATTGATCTCGTTTTGTGTGTTCAGGAGTCCTTGTCGCCACAACTTCACTGTTAACCTCACTTATGTATTAGGAATGACACCCAATTCACTCTACTGAAGTTTGCTTACTGCTTTTGGCTGAATCTTGCATGCAAACTACAGTCCTTACATAATGGCCAAAATCGCCTCACACTGTTCCTGGGGGCTTGATTGACCTGGGCAGGGCTGCTACAATTTTGTCACCCTGATAGTCCGTACTGTAATTTTATTATGTTGATCTATTCTGTACACACAACATCTATTGCATGCCTGTCTTTCCTGGGAGAGGGATTTCTCCTCTGTTGCTCTTCCTGAGGTTGCTACCATTTTTTTGGAGTTTTTCCTAATCCAAATCGAGCGTCTAAAAACTAAAGATGTCATATGCTGAACAGATTCAGACAAATTTGTGATTTCTTATATTAGGGCTAGGGCGATACAAATACAATTTGCACCAAAGGATGAAAAGATGGACATATCATACTTATCATAAACATACTGTAAACATTCAATTTATTGCCTAAAACTTGGGTAATACATGGCTGGTGATAAATTACATGAACGGAAGAGGTGAACGTGTTATCTGTGTGCAGTGAAATCCTCCCAGTCGAGTCAGTTAAAATAAAAGAATCGCAGTTGATCATAATATCCAAACAAATACCATTGGCAGAATTAAAACAGAAAAAAGATCCCCTTAAGAATAAACACATTTTTCTGAATAGTACATCAACACAAGTCTAAGCCACTCAAGTGATAACTATAAATAAACCCAGATATTTCTTTCAGTAGTCTGAAAACTAACCACTCAGTCACATCAGGGAGCCTCTAGCTCACATCACAAGTGTTGCACATCACAAAACTGTACACTGATGAAGAAAAAGCATAAGACCGACCTGTGACATGTAGCCTGTCCAAGCTGACTTCGATCTTGAGGAAGAGGCGACCCCGGCGCTCCGTGTGGTCCATCCCACACAGGCTTGGCACGTTGACCACACACTGCTTGTGCACGTTCATGTCGCAGGCTAGAAAGAGACAGAAAACAGAGGGGGACACACTGAGTGTTGAGCATATCTTTTTTTTTAATCTACTTCTTTTCTTATTGCATGTACTGTACATCTGATGGTGAATCAAGCATGTAAAGGGTTAGGATAAGTGTGGCTGATTTCACATTACACTGAATTTACAATGCTTCATTCAATTTGTGATACACATTAGCGTGGAAAATGCTCTGCCTTTCAAGAAAATGTGAAAAAAGAGTTGTTGTGGTATAGAGTGGTGAGGGGGCCGGGGGGAAAAAAATTAACCTTTACTACAGATCTACAGAGATCTCAATGTAGGGAGCTCTGCTGAATTACTGGTAATTACTCTGTTTCTGTACTGCAGCCAACTTACCATTCTAAGAGACCTCTTGAGCATTCTTAAGATGAAATAAATTACTTTTATCCTTACGTTTGTAAGTAAGAGTAAAAAAATCTCACTCCAAAAAGTCCAAACAATCAGTTTGATAAAGACCTGTCCTAGTTCTAAGTCTTCTGGAAGCTTTACATACTGAAGTAAGCTCAATGCCTACCCAGACTGTAATAGTACCAGTACCAAGTCTGTAATTCCTGGGCTCGCTGAGGTTTTCCTTTTGGACTCGTAAACTGACTCATGCATGGCTGCAGACCCAATGTGGCAAAAAATTTGTTTTTGGAGATGATTCAGTGTGGAAATGTCTTTTCTCAAAGGTGCTGTGTAGGACTTAAACATCAATAAGTAATCACCACATTGAGCAGATGAGATCACCATCCAGTGAACGAGCAACCTTCGCTGTGTCCCACTGGTTTGGATATTGTAGGAAACAAGCTGAATTATGGTACAAAAGGGAGCAGTGTAAATAAAGTAACATGGCATGTGCATTAGTGGGAGCAGTGAAACGGCAAGGGAAAAGTACTTCATAGGTTCTCCCCAGTTAAGAGCAAGAGGGTTGATGGGAAATGTGGGCTTAATTTTGACAAACCCCTTACCATTACTGGATTGAGAAAAAGGCCCCTTAATAGCCTTTAAATAGCCTGAAATTTATTAGGGTTCATACCGCGTAGTGTTTTAGTTATTATTATTATTTGTTGTCTGCCACGCCGGCTCAAATTCCCGTGAGCTGGAATGAGCTAGAAACATGAAACTTGGGGGAATAACTGGAAATGGTGAGCATCAGCTTCCATAGAAATATGAACTCAATCGGCCACATGGTGGCGCTATAATTAAGGCTTAAAAATGCAAATTTTGAAAGGCCACACCCCTTACGTCGTAAGTCCGATTGACTTAAAATTTTTCACACAGGTGCAGCTCAATGTGCTCTACAAAAAAGCCTCAAGGACTATTAAGGTCCGCCAAGAGTTTTTTCCGCAATTTAGAATTTTTTGAAAATCACATTTTTGACATCTCCTCCTAGACCGTAGCTCCGATTGCCACCAAATTTTCAGTGAATCATCATTGGATCAAGCCTATTAAAAGTTGTATAAAGCATGTCAATATCTCAATTACTTTTCAAGATATGGACCAATGAACTTTGTAAGGGGCGTGGCTCTGGACATAAATGACCACAAATCAGCAACCGTAGGGCCAATCATCACAAAACTCACAGTATATATTCAGATAGGTGCCTCGGATATACCTGGACAGTTTGATGTACATACATCACTAGGGGGCGATACAAGCACAAGACAGGTGCTTAGCATTACACAAATTACACTGTAAATCCCATATTCATTCTCCAATCATCACAAATCTCTCAGGATGTGTCCTCATAAGTAACTGAAACATGCCGTGAAAGTTTCATTCAAATCGAACACCCAGGGGTCGCTATAAATGCAAACAAAGTGCAGGGGATGAAACGCAAACAGGCTACAAAATGCATATTGTTTGTCTAATCAACACAGAACTTCCAGGATATGTCTACATAACCACCTCACACATACCCTGAAAGTCTCATTCAAATCCACCACTAGGAGGCGCTATAAATGCATCGTAACTGGACGTGGAATGAAATAAATCAGGCTATAGATCAGAAAATTGTTGTTTATGTGTTTAGTAACAATGTTGAACCGTATGTGTGAAATAATTTTGATGGCGATATTGGGAAAAAAGGTATGAACCCGCGAATCGCCGCTTGCTACTATATTTTGAATTATTTTTCTTGTGACTCTTCTCTATGTCACACACACACACATCCTTGTACTTCTGAAGTTGTGAGGACTGGCCAAAATGTCCTCACTCTGTTGGTTAAAATCTTGATCCTCACTATGTAGGAAATACAAGAACAAACACACACACACACACACAAATTTTGCCAAAGCCAAACAGATGAGAGACCAGAGGGGAAAGAGAACATTTGTTCTCCCTCGTTTCCTCCTCTGTCCCTTACTGCCCTCTAACTTTCTCTCAAACCTCCTCCTCCTTTCCTGCCCCTCTGTATTTTGTGTTCTTCTCCTCCTCCCTCTTTCTGTCCTCCTCCATCCAACCATCCATCTCTCCCTCTCTTTCCCCCCCTCTCTCCCCCTCTTCCTCCCTCCACTCTGCGTGGCTTTGTCAGGCTGACATGCTGGGAGGAGACAAGGAGAGACGAGAGTCGAGGAAGCAGCTCATAATGGCGATGGCCTCCCCGCATCAATTTGTTCTGGTGCGCTCTCATTACCATCTGCGACGAGGCCGCCACCAGAGACCCACAGATGGATGGACAGACTAAGAGGAGGAGAGAGGGAGGGAGGGTGATGGATGGAGACGACAAGGGGGGGACAGAGGAGGTACAGTGATGTGTACAAAGGAGGATGGACATGTACAGGGAAAAGAGGACGAAGGATGTCTGGGAGTACAGAGAGAAAAATTGGGAAAGCATAGAGAGAAGAAAGAGCCGAAGTGGGAGGAAAAGGAGAAACAACAGTGCAGGACGGGGTCATATCTGCAAAGAAAGACGGAAGGAGTTGATAGAGGAGTGTGGGTGGAAAGAATGGGAGCGCAAAGAGGACTCAGCAGGGCGGGACAGTGAATTCTGTCTGGGCTGCAGATGTGGCTGAATGTAGTACAGTACCAGTCTATTCCCATCTGTTCTCATTAGGGCCGGCTGTACTGTCGGACGGAAGCCAGCACAGCATATTCGACACAGGTGCACCCCCCCCGCACACACATAGGTAGGGTGTGTACTTACTGTCACATTTCATCCCTTGGTGGATGAGCCCGTACAGCAGCGAACCACAGTGGTCACAGAAGGTGGGACTGCCGTACGAGTGGATCTTGAACTTGTGTTTGCTTCTGGGGTCCTGGGCAACAAAGAGAGAGAGGGGAAAACCAAAAAATATTAGATATCAGTAAACTGATGGCAGGATTGATTTAAAAACACATCTTTTTTCATCATTTTCAGCAAGAACAGTTGAGGCTGAACACTGTTAGTCTTGCAGTACCCTGCATAAATGAATCTGTGTGGGTCAGTATTTTCCAGGAGAGTATGCCAAAGTTTCCAATCCAAGTAGGCTATCTATCAAGTTTGTATTTTCTAAAATAGATAATGTTTTCCAAGGCATCTTATTATCTTTTCCTCCCACTTGATGAACTCGACAGTGTGCGTATGCTTTTGCCTGAATACTCGTCACACTGTGTTGCTTCTAACAAGCCATAGTTAAATAAAATTCCTTTACTTCTTGGGGACACAGATCCCTCGGATAAACATTCAGAAGACATAGTTTGAGGTTAGAGCAACCTCTTTTGGCTAAACCAAAACATTATAAGAAAAAGAATACTTGATATTAATTTAAGCGCTGTTGCAACATTTCTGTTAGAGAGATTATAAACAGACCTGCCTTACAACATCTGTTCATCACTCTAGCGCTTAATGTCTCCCTCAGAGATTAATGGAATAAATGATTGCAAAGAGCATCCAAACAGATCCAATTTTTTTGCCTCATTAACACACTAAACAGCACTTCACTTTAATTTCTACGTACAATGTAATTAACTTTTAGCTCTACGCTTCGTAAATCACACTATGAATAATCTGCCTTGGATCTGTTGTATCATCGCTGGCGGGGAGTGACGCAAAGAAAGTAAGAAAGATGCAGATGGAAAGGAAATGTCAGGCCGTTTTCAGTGCGTGGGAATGTGTAAGGTGCGAGTGTGTTTGTGCAGGGTGTCAGTTCTCTCCATCTTGTCATCCTGGAAGCCTTCCCAGCATGCTCCCTGTTTCAAATGTACAGTGATCATGTGGTTCCATGAGCACAGCAACTGAGCAACTATTTATCTTGGCCAGAACATCTGGCACTAAGGCTGAGTAAAAATCGAGCTAATGAGCAATAGGGGATTGATGCTCAGATAGGTTTCCAACAAATCACACTTACTTTAAGTGAACAGGCATGACAACAGAAACTGGATAACATTGTAGAAAATAAAACATGTTCTGCAACACTTGCAGTATCCATATATGGTTATCCTATTTGATCTGTTAATCACTATGGCTAAGTTTCATTTGTTGGAAATCGATTGATATATTCTTAAGTCAGTATTGTGATAGTGGAGGTTAGCTAATTTCTACAATCACCAGAAAACAAACATAGCTGTAATTAAAGCCCTGCAAATGAGGGTGGATAAAACCCCTCCAGTGTCGCCTCCATCATGCTGAAGTGTCAGAAAGGCCGAATGTGTAATTATATAGGCCACTGACTAAGTAAGTGGGCCCACATCGTCGGAAAAGTGCCCTTTTTTTCACAAACGCGCTAAATCGAGCAAACAACGTGGCGACAGAAGAAGGTGAGTAAGGAAGAGATGGCAACAGTGGTGGGAAAGTCTGCATTTGAAAGAGGAGGGAGTTGTCGGGTGATTAAGATGTGATTGGCAGGGGAATGAGTAAATGGCGTGAGGGTCCTGGAAAAAGTCTAATTAGCATGTTATCATTTTAATGAGCTCGTCTATTTTTTGCCCCTTTCCTCCAGCCTTTCCTAGAGTCTTTTCTTGAGAAAACAAAAAAAAAAACATCTGATCAAAAACAACTGCATCGCGGTCATGGCCTTCGTGTCCCGTGTCTTCTCTCCTGGGTCTCCCATTTTCGCCTCTGTACTGCATGAACACTCATTCTCTTCCGAGTTTTCAATTGTGGGAACATTGAATTTATCTTAAGAGACTTTCTCCGTGAACAACAGACACCAGGGACTCCGCAGTAACAGAGGAGATCCTATCCTCTACTGTACTATACTCCCTGCTCTCTATTTCCCTTTTTATGTTTTCATTCTTTCACTGTGTGTCATTGCCTCTTTGACTGTGCCTCCCCCAGCCATGGGTAAATTAAAATGGCAGGGTTTCCACTCACAGTCACCCTGAGCCTTTCACTCAGTGCAGCCCATTGCATGAAGAAGCTGGGTGTGAAGACTTAATCTGTTCAGTGTTCTGTTCTTCTGCATGCCTGCGTGTGTGCATGTCTGCATGCATGCATGCATTTATTCCACCCTTTAGGCCATGTCAGAGCCGTGTGTTGGTACAAAAAGCTGGAAAAGTGCAGATGCACACAACCAAAACTGAAAAGTTGCTCTGACACACAGAAAGCTCTCCTTTGGCTCTTTGTCTCACCCCTTCTGACCCAAAATGATGTCTCCTCACTCTCAAAGCATAGAGAGACAAACATACAAAAACAATGCAGCAGTACAAACTACAAAATACCGATACAGTTGGACCAAAACCTCTCTGACAGTGTGAATATGTAGGAATAATTGTATTCTATTGTACTGTATTGTACAGGACTATTGTATTGGACTGAAATTATGTTTGCATGGTCCAAAACATAATAAAGTAGGTATAATTCTGTTTGTTATGAGTTGATCTCAGTATCAAACACATAAATAAGCAGACAATACCATACAAAGCAAACCTCATAACACAATTTAGTTTAAGAACCTAAATAATAGCGTCTTGCTAACAAATTAGCAACAGTCCACTTGAACACAAGTGCTCTCTTACACTGTAACTCTTAACTGAACTCAATGGGCTTTTCCCCCTGGCTGGCAGCACCCTAAAGGGTTTCAAGAGACTCAATATGAAGGCAATGAGTTGAGCCTGTTCCTGTCTTTGTTTTGATTATGATCAAACATAATAATATGCATAATATTTAAATGTGCTAACACCTTCATCATGGCCCACGCAGCCAAAATCAAGTTGTAGACGTTGTTGATTTCTTCTAGCAGAGATAACGGGTTACATGGTACACCTAAATGTCCTACAGAAACACTTTCTTTTGAAGCTGTCATGATGCCATCATCAAATGTTTTTGATTAAGAATAACTGAGCCCATTGACGTTGAAACAAATATTATCTCTTCACACAAGCTGCGTCTTAGGAGCCTTTTGGACTCCTGGGCCTGGTAACATCGTTCAGTAATCCATTCATGAGTGAAATGCCTGAAGCTGAGAAAAGACTGAGGGAAACTCATCCTTGCTTTTGTCACGCCAGTTCACATTTAGATGCACATGCAAAAAATAAATGCACTCACAAAACACCACAGAGCGTTTCCTATAGGTTTGTTTCAGGCAATGTGTTTATCTCCTCCAGTCTTTACTGTTGTTGAAGCTACCCCTGTTACGACAAGCATGAATACCTGACTCACAAATCATAAATAGACAGTCAAACATGTAAAGTCCAAAACAGGTTAGTAACGAAACTGAAGAAATGGCAAATAAAAGTGGAGTTTAGCACATGTAAAAATGTCAGCCTCATTTCAGCCTGTATCTATCAAACATCTTCTCAGCCATTTAAATACTAGACATCATGCTGCGCCGGGGAAAGATGCTGGTGGACAAACTGTCGACACTAACAGACAGAGCTGCTGAGGCAAAACCAGGAGGGAAGTTGGTTCCAGTGAGGTGAGATGATGCTGCCGCCGAATTCCTTGGAGCGTTACAAGGGCCACATCAAGCAGAAGAAGAGGAAGAAGTTGACGATGAGAGCAGATTGACAGAGTCAAACACAGGTCTTTGCTAATTATAGTCAGGCATTGACAGGCACATTGCCGCCAGAGGTAACAATATCTAATTGGAAATTATTACCGCAAAAAGTGAAGCGGCTGGTGTCAGTCATGTCTGGAGTTAACTGATTAACAGGCAACCCTTCAGAGCTACTTTCACATCTGCTTCATACAAATTGGGTTGATTGTAGTTGTAATTTACCCTCACGGTGCTTTACAAGCAAAAGCACTTTTCAGCCTGTGATCTTCATCCTTGTTTGATTTGATATGAGCACAATGAGACACCAGAGGACCTCACTGTCAAGCATCCTGCCTACTGAAGTGTCCCTACGTAACACACTGCATCTCTCCAGGACCAACTCATAAAAACGCGATAGCACTACTGGTAAGCAAAATTCCACAGAGTACCTGATTTAGATACAGCGAACCTGACAGGAGCTTATGCCAGGATCAGACTACACAACATCAACCCGATAATAGTGAGATCCATCAATGCTTGTTTTTTCCTGTGTAGTGGATCAGATTGGAAGACAACTGACACAACATCTAAGACGACTGACGACAAAAAGATTAGCATATCACAATGTTTTTGCAATGCTTTGGCGAGCTTGACAACTTATCCAAAGTGGTCTGTGACATCGACTAATAGGTGCACAGAGAACTCTTAGTAGAAAACCAACATGGCAAAACAAAATCTCCTTCCTGATTAGCTATTACCATATGAATGTCATGCAAGTCGCGAAAAACAGCAAGCTGTCTTTCAAGCTTTCAAGCTGTGCAAGGAAGGCTAAAATCAAAGGCAACTGGACTTTGTTGAAGATACTCGAAGACGTATCGTCCCTCATCCAAGAGACTTGGAAACTCTCTTTAACCTCTGTGGGGTCGTTGTCAAGATGATCGATACTGCTGGTTTGTTAGTGCTCCTGACTGTTATAACGGCAGTTGTTATGGTCATTGGAGTCTGAACGACCATTGTTGGCATCTCCACCTGGAGACAAAAGTGAACGTTTGTTTAGTTTCCTGGGAAGTGATGAGAAAGCTGTGACTGGGCGGGCTCCAACATGCAGTCTTCCATGCCTCTCAGTCAAGTCATGACAAGAATTTATGACTTAATAGTCACCTAATGTGCCACAGTGACAATCTCAAAAGGCAAAAGGACTGTGTAGTCTGACTTTTCAATATTTTTTTCTCAGCTTTGGGCAAATTAGTTAAGATCCCAAGACTCGATCCAAAGCTAGAAATACATATGATTCAATTCAACAGAAATTGATTTAAATTTTAGGGCTGCAACTAACAATTATATTCATTATTTTCTCAATG